CTCAGCGGCAAAAGCGCCTGCCTGGCAAGCGCAAGGTTGTGAGTTCGGTTCCCGGTACCGGAGAAAAACCAAAAAAAAAAAAAAAAAAAAAATCCCAGCACCCAGGAGGCAGAGGCAGGAGAACCGCTGTTGAGTTCGAGGCCAGCCTGAGGTACACTGAGTTCAAGGCCAGCCAGAGTTACATGGCAAGACACTGTCTCAAACAAAACAAAACAAAAACTATGAGGTACTGGAAATTGAGACTAGGGCTCAATTTTTTTTTTTTAAAGATAGGGCCTCACTAAATTGCCCAGGCCAGGCTTGACCTTGGAATCCTCCTGCCTCAGCCTCCCACAGTGCTGGGATCACTATGCCACCATACATGTCCAGCTCAAATAATCCAATTTCTAATCTCAGAGCTGTCCCTGCCCCACACATTGGAAATGCAAATATAAATAAGAGAAATACCTCCCAGGTCCTCCAGCAAGACCAAATGCTGGCAGATACTACCTCTTTGTCATCTGTGTCAGCCCCATGTCTGTTTAGCTAAAAGAAAAATCTTGTTTCTATGAAAAGCAGCATCGTGCTCAAATTGCCTTAAATGTAATTATTTACCAAAAGTTATTCTGAAGGACAGGGTATTAAAACCATTCCTGGCCGGGCATGGTGGCGCACACCTGTAATCTCAGCACTCAGGAGGCTGAGGCAGGAGGATCATTGCAAATTTGAGACCAGCATGGGCTACAAAGTGAGCTGAAGGCCAGCCTGAACTGCATAGTGAGACCCTGTCTCCAAAAGACAAAAATAAATAAAACCATTCCTGGATATCCCCCACAACTGTGTTTCTGAGAGTTCGTCATCATGAACAGTGAGTGTCCTTCTAGACATTTCTGTGCATGTATGAGCATATAGTTTTCATCTTCCCGAGGGTTGAGGATACAGCTTGGTGTTGGAGCGCTCGCTTATCTAACGTGGGCAAGGCCCCGACTTCCGTCCCTCGCGTCGCAAAAAGAAAAATCACAGACACTTTCTGAATGGATAGATTTTCTTGGCTTCATTTAGAAGTGTTACATTTCTTTTTTCAGCAACATTTCTTAAGGCTTATTTTACATACCTTAATTCACTCACTCCTAGGGTACAGTTCAGTGGCTTCTGTACATTTATTTTACTGTTTTGTATGTAAACCACTGCCAGAAATCATCCCTCAGGAAGGTCCCTCAAGCACATTGTTAACCCAGCACTCTTGAGTGCCTGCCCCAGGACGCGGACATGGCTGTGTCCCCCCTGAAATCAGACGGCATGCGAGCTCTCGGGTTTGCCCTCTTACACTTGGCATCATATTTATTTTTAGAAAGAAAGTGGGCAGAATATTATAAGTTGGGAAGAAACTATTCTAAAGAAAAGACAAACTATGATGGAGAGAGGAAAGGAAGAAAAAGGGAAAAAATATGTGTACACAAGATAGTTAAGATAGTTACACAGTTTCTCATACTTCATTAAAAAGAAAGTTTCGTGCTAATATTGTATAGACAAGATATCATGCCTCTGTCTTCTATTCGGAATAACCGCTAGGAAGACAACAATATGCAATGTATCCAGTACTGTAACTGCACTACCAACCTGTCAGAGCATGAGCCACCCAACAGCAAAGATGTCAATGTGTTTTCCTATTGTATATAAAGGTATGTACGGCTTTTTCAAATTCTTTGTATAAACTTCAAGATGAAAAGGAAGCAATTAAGCTTTATTCCAGGAAACTATGCCTAACAATATTTAATGATAAGAGATCAACTTATAATTATGATGAGTATTTACCAATTGTGACATATTTATTTTTTACCAACTCCAGGCATCTGAAAAGCTAAAATTTCCTTCATCATATATATATGAGCAGCTCACAGATTCTGTAAGACACGGTAAGATCGAACAACTTCAACTTAGTGCAAAAAAGCTACGCTGCCTGATTTTTAAAAGGTTGAGGGTTAAACCTTAATGTCCACGACTGTAGATCATCCCCCCCTCCCCGCAAAGTATCCTAGAGGGACCTTGGGCAAGTTCCCCAGTGTAAGTTTCTTTCTTGAAAGATGAGGACCGTGTGACACCAGTCTCACGTAAGGATTAAGTGAATTGAGACGCGGGGAATGTCCACCACACTGGGCACACAGTAGAAGCTGAATAAATCGTGGACACCCGCCTTTTCTGCCTGCTGCCCTGCTGGAACAAGCGCGTTAGCCAGGGCTTCGCCGGGCTCTGCCCTCGTCCCCGCCCACCTTGCCGACGACTTCCGCAATGTCCCTGACTTTCTGTTCTTTCTTGCACCACGCCCCAGCGCTTCCCTTCCCCGCTCACCACTGCCTCTTGACTCTTTCCCCAGCGGTGGGGCTCAAACCCTTTGCACTGAACCACATCCCCATTCCCCTTTTAAAATTTTAAGACAGAGTCTCCCTAAGACGCTAAATTGCTCAGGCTGGGCTCACATTTGCAGTTCTCCTGCCCCAGCCTCCCAGAGGGCGCGCAGCTCTGTCTTGTCAAGTTTAAGACTCCGTTGTGCGCTGGTCACAACTGAGACAGTCACGGTGGTCCTCTGGTCAGGCGTCCTGCTTCCACCGTGCACAGTCATGCAGCACCTGTGCATTTTAGGAACATGGGTGTTCTAAAAACGCAAAGCAGAGTGTATTTGTTCCTGCTCAAAACTCCTGACTTGTGAGCTTGGGTAATTTGAATGCTCTCTGCCACGGGACTTTTCCGGGCTGCAGGGGACTTTTCCGGGCTGCAGGGGACTTTTCCGGGCTGCAGGGGACTTTTCCGGGCTTCTGCAGCCCAGGACGGAGTGATCGGCCCCATCTTTACAGGTGCAACCCCGTGCGAGCACCGCCTGCCCGGTGCTGGAGCAGCTCCGGACCCGGTCCCACCAACAGCG